ACATAATTGAAAAATTGAAATGGAACCACAAAAGACCCCAACAGCCACGACAATCTTGAGAAAACAAGAATAAAATTGGAGGTATCATGCTACTTGATATCAAACTACAAGTCCAGAGAAATCCAAACAGCATGGTGCCCTGACTGGTGTGGTTCAGTGGGTGGGGTGTCATCCCACAAACCAAACGGTTGCCGGTTCAATTCCCAGTCAGAGCACATGCCTGGGTTGTAGGCCAAGTCCCAGGTTGGGGGTGTATGAGAGGCAACCATCGATGTTTCTCTCCTTTTCTCCGACCCTTCCCTTCTCTCTAAAAAATAAAATCTCAAAACATCATGGTAGTGGCATAAAAAAGACCAAAAAGAGAATGAAACGAAATAGCCCAGAAATAAACCCATGCTTATATGCTCTATTAATATTTGACAAAAGAGGCAAAAGCATACAGTGAGGTAAAGAGGGTCTATTCAATAAATTGTGTTAGGATATTGGACAGATAGATGTAAAAAAGATGAAATCAGACCACCTTCTTACATCATATACAAGAATAAAACTCAAAATGAATTAGGGACTTAAATGTAAGACTCAAAACCACAAAACTCCTAAAAGAAAAGCACAGGCAGTAAAATCTCAGACATTTCTCTAATCAACATTTTTTCTGATATATCTCCTCAGGGAAAGGAAACAAAAGAAAAAATAAACAAATGCAACTACATCAAACCAAAAAGTCTTTGTTCAGCAAAGGAAACCATCAACAAAATTAAAAAAACAACCCACTGAATAGAGGAAGATATTCTCCAAGAATACATCTGATAAGGAGTTAATACCCAAATTTATAAAGAACTAATACAATTCAACACAAACACACACACTCAAAACAATCCAATTTAAAAGTGTCCAGAGGACCTGAACAGACACTTCTCTAAAGAGGACATACATATGGCCCACAGACATACAAAAAGATGCTCAACGTCCATAATCATCAGAGAAATGCAAATTAAAAACACAATGAGATTTCACCTCACACCTACTTATTCTGATGATGGAATGGCTATCATCATAAATCCACAATGACAAATGTTGGCCAGGATGTGGAGAAATGGAACCCTCGAGCAACGTTGGTGGGAATGTAGATTTGCACAGCCATTATGGAAAACCTGGTACAGAAGATCTTCAAAAAATTAAAAATGGAACTGCCTTGAATAAAAAGTGGAACTGCCTTGTCACCTAGTGACTCCACTTCTGGGAATATATCTGAAGAAACCTAAAACACCAATTTGAAACAATATATGCACCCCTTTTTTCATTGCAGGGTTATCTACAACAGCCAAGAAATGGAAGCAACCCCAGTGCTGATCAATAGCCGAATGGATAAAAAAGCTGTGCTACAGCCCCTGTCCAGGTAGCTAGTTGGTTAGAGAGTTGTCCCAATACACCAAGGGTGTAGGTTCAACCTCACGTCAGGGCACAATAAGCAACCAATGACTGCAGAAGTAAGTAGGACAACAAATTGATGTTTCTCTCTCTCTTTCCTCCTGCAACCCTTCCTCTCTCTCTAAAAAAAAAATAAAATAAAAATCAATAAACTAAGCTCCTCTGAACCCAGAAACGCTGTCAAATCTATTTTCATGTCTTTGGTGCCTGGCATATATAGAAGTTTACTAAATATTAATCAAGTAACCTGTTATTACAAATCAACAAAAGAAGTTTGTTTACTTCAAAGGGGTAATTTAAAGCAAACATCATTTTCTCACAGCTTTTAATTAGGAATAAGGAGAAACAAGTTCTATACCGAAGAAACCTAAATATTTTATTTTGAAATACTGAGATTTCTCAATTAATTCTCATGTATGTTTTATTCAGTTATCCTGAAATACTGAATATTTTCTGGGATGATGGCAGTAGGTGACAGAAAATAAGGTATCAATTATTCTTCAATATAAAATAAAATGCATCATAAAGAAAATGTGGTACATATATACAATGGAATATTTCTCAGCCAGAAAGAAGAAAGAAATCTTACCATTTGTAACAACATGGATAGACCTAGATGGTATTATGCCATGTGGACTAAATCAAGACAGAGACAAATACTATATGATTTCATTTGTATGTGGAATCTGAAGAACAAAATAAATGAACAAACAAAACAGAAGCAGCCCTGGCCAGGTAGCTCAGCTGGTTAGAGCATCGTTCTGATACATCGAAGTTGTGGGTTTAACCCCCAGTCAGGGCACATACAAGAATCAACAAATGAATGCACAAATAAGTGGAAAAATAAACCTCTCTCTGTCTTTCCCTCCCTGCCTCCCTCCCTTTCCCTCTCCCTCTGTCCCTAAAAAAATAAAAAGAAAAAAATATAAAAGAAAAGGTGAAGGGATTAAGAAGTACAAACTGGTAGTTACAGAACAGTCACTGTGATGTAAAATACAACATAGGCAACATAGTCAATGATATTATAATAATTATGCATGGTACCAGACTGTTGCTAAACTTACTGGGGAGATCGCTTCATATTATGTGCTATACACCTGATATTAATATAAAATAATATTGAATGTCAACTATAATTTAAAAAGGAAAGTAAAATTTATCATTTTCCAAAATCAGAAAATTATTCAAAATAAGGGAATTCCTAATACACCTACAAGTCAGATAATTATATACATGCACATATGAATCAAATAATAGTAACTGAAAGCATTTTAATGTGGCACAAACAGCATTTGGTATAGAACCACAATAAATCAACTGAGACAAAACTCTTAGGCATCGGAGGTTTTGGAACATCCGAACAATGTCATTACCACCTAACTCCCACTGGTTCCACCAGGGTTTGGTAACATACAATGTCTGTGTTACCTTTTACATAGGCAAACAAGCTCTCACAAACTTTGGAAAGTGTATAACTAGTTCAACTTTTACGAAAAGCATTTGAAAATATCAAAATTTTGAAAACTTCTGACTCAAAAATTTTCCTCTTAGGAATGTTTTCATTAGACTTGCACATGATGAGATTTTTTTAATGTTTTATTGACAGATCTCCAGTGAATGTCATACAGTAAGTTTTGAGCTAATACAAGATAGAAGTAAAATTTGAAATCAGTCTGACTTTGTGTTCTTTCTATAAAATTATTTTTTACTGATAGGAGAGGGAGAGGGATTAAGGGAGAGAAAAAACATTGATTTGTTGTTCCACTTATTTATTCATTCATTGGTTGACTCCTGCATGTGCCCTGACCAGGCATCAAACCCACAACCATGGCGTGTCTGGACAACACTTCAACCAACTGAGCATATTCCCACCAGGGACCATATTTTGTGTTCTTAACCACTACAATGTACTGCCTCAGTGGAGATGATCCAAGTACTTATAAGAACACAAAGATATATGTATAGAGATACTCCCTGCAGCTTTATTTAACATAGTGAAGAACTGAAGACAGCCTACATGTTCACTTAATAAGGACCCATAAAATACAGTTGTTCAGTTCAATAGAATGCTATCTTCTGTGCTGATATAGAAAAATCCCCAAGATGTTATGTGGGGCACAGAGTTTAAGCAACTTGCCCAAAGCTTCCTGTTTTTTGAATCATTTTTAATTTTCAACTACAGTTGACATACACTATTATATTAGTTTCAGGTGTATACCCCAGTGATTAGACATTATACCATCTACTAAGTAATCATCCCAATCGATCTCGCACAGATCTGACACCATACATAGTTACTAGACTATTACTGACTATATTCCCTATGCTGTACTTTAAATCCCCATGGCTATTCGGTAATAACCAATGTGTTCTTTTCAATCCCTTCCCCTGCTCTTAGGTGTCAGAATACATGAGTGGTGAGTAAGTCAGAGACTCAGAGGAGGGTGAGAAGAAAGAATTATTTTTCATTTTATACTTCTCTATACCATCAGATTTTAGCATGTGCATATATAACAAAATTTCTGATACACTCTCTCAGATACCACAATTTTTCTCTCTTTGGCCTGTCTTACAACTGGAAACAAAGCAACAGAGGAATACCATCAATGGTACACATAACTGCGGTTCTTGTATATGTAAGAAACAATCTGCAAACACCTCAATTGATTTTTACCCTGCCATGGTATGTCCTCATAAGCTAGAATACACTAAATAGTGATAGAGACATCTTTTTTCTAGTTCCAACCTCTAACTTTGTGTTTGTGGTCATCTCAACCTCACATCAATGTCTCAACTGAAGAAAGAAGGGCTTAGATCTACTGAAGCCTTAGTTCTATGAATCTAGGTCTAGTCTTCTAACACCACAGCATATACTGCAATCTCTTGCGTGATCTGAGTAAAGACAAGATCTAAATCAGCAAGGCCAATAGAAAGTCTGCACAGTTTAACAACTGAACCCAGGCACATGGGAGCTACAAATTAGTCATCAATTCTGGGCTCCATCAATTATTTTATTCCCAGGGTCAGAAACCTTATTCTCATGTATGATGAAAACTCTTACTTTGGTAAATACAAAATTTATGTTTGCATTTACCAAAAATCTCAGAGAAAGTCTGTAAGAATCACCTGACGACTAAAATATCTTGGCTGAAAACTACGTAAAAAAATTTTTTTAAATATGTTACTGATTTTAGAGAGAGGAGAGGAACATTGATACGAGAGAGAAACATCAATTGGTTGCCTCCAATTCATGCCCCAACCAGGGACTCAACCTGCAACCTAGGTATGTGCCCTGACCAGGAATAAACCCCCAACCTTTTGGTGTCGGGATAATGCTCCAGCCAACTGAGCCACACAGGCCAGGGCTGCAGACTCCTTCTTACACAAAATACTTAGCTGTCATTTTGACCTCTGCTTCAAAGGAAATTAGCACATCTAGACATTCCTGCATGTATGAAACCCAGCAACTGTAATTATGAGCACTTCTAAAGCATGAATGCGCTTCGATTTTTAGTACTTTTTAACAGTGCATGTTATTTTAATTATGAAATAGAAAAGAAGGTGCTTCTTACCTGATGTCCACACATAAGATTCTGCGAGGCCATCATGATGGCTTTCATTCCTGAGGCACAAACTTTGTTTATAGTGGTACATGGAGTAGAAATAGGTAAGCCTAAAACCAATACATTATGTCATACTTCTGAAAAACAAAGATAACTTTAAACATAACTGTAGAGTTAAAACTAACAAAGTATATTAAATTATAATCTGAAACGACATTACTTCTCCCAATAAGTCTATAAATGTTAAATTACATTATTCATTTAACACTTTATTTAAGCTGAAATGAACTTCATTTTTCCACATCAGACATTTTAAGTATAAAAGCAAGAATGTATTCCTAGTACCTGCACCCAGTACCGCTTGCCTTGTAGGGGCCTGTCCTTCACCTCCTTGTAGAACATTACCCATGTATGCTTCTTTCACCTCTTCTTTTGGTATCCCTTTAAAAAAAATCAAAGAGGCACTTCCATATTTTCTTCAATTTAATAATTAGTGATTACCTAGTAAGGGACACGACATTATATAGCAGGAATTATTGCTTCTTCTTGTCAGTTTTTGAGTTTCATTACTAACTCTATAGTGCAAGGACTTCTTTAAAAAGGAATTCATTTCCACTCCAATGTTCATAGCAGCACAATTTACAATAGCCAAGTACTGGAAGCAACCTAAGTGCCCATCAATGAATGAGTGGATCAAAAAATGATGGTACATTTACACAATGGAATACTATGCAACAGAAAGAAAGAAGGAACTCCTACCCTTTGCGACAGCATGGATGGAATTGGAGAGCATTATGCTAAGTGAAAAAACCAGAGAGTAAAAACAAATACCATTCGATGTCACCTATAAGCAGAACCTAATCAATAAAACAAACAAGCAAGAAAAATATAACCAGCAACACTGAAAGAAAAAACAAACAGACAGTAACCAGAGGGGAGGAGGGAGGTGGGTCACGGGGAAAAGAAGGGGAAGGGTCAAGCCAAGGAACATGTATAAAGGCCCCATGGACAAAGCCAAAGTGGGGAAGGATTGAGGGTGGGGGGTGGGGGGGTATGAGGCAGGGGGAAGTGGTAGCGGGAAAATGGAGACAGATGTGCTTGGACAATAAAAAAATTTTTTTTAAATAGAGAAAAAATAAAAATAATAAATTTTAAAAAAGGGAATTCATTTCTAAGTGTTATGTATATAGTAAATGCAAAATAAATATCTGTTCCATTGAATCACAGCCCACTTAACACAAAAAGCAAAGCGACTACTGACCCGCCTTTTCAATGGCTCCCTGAATGGCGATGGAACCAAGCTTAGTGGCTGGCAGGGAAGAAAGGCTGCCTAGAAAGGATCCAATAGGTGTTCTTGTGGCACTTGCTATGACCACTTCCTGGTAAGACAGAAGACAAGAAAAATTATTATATTTAAATATTTTACCCAAATCATATTTTATTAAATAATAAAAAGGCTTTTTATGAATGATTAATTACTCATCACAGATTAAAATAATATCAATATTTGAAAGCAGTAAAACAAATCCATTTAATGCTGGCACTTAATGACTTAAGATCTAATAGAAAATCTAAGACAAACCCACTCCAAACCAGCATTGATCCTTCTCAATTCTCCACAGGGGGTTTGAAATGAGAAGCTTAAATTTCAGTTCTACTCCTCAGTCAAAATTTAAGAGATGTTAACTTTATCCTTGTTAACTGCATAAGAAACAACCCTAACTAAAGGGCTTCCTTACTGAAGGGAACTCTGGACTAGTAATCAACGCCCATAGGCCCATGCCGCAACGGGAACAAAGCCCTTAAATGATTAATAAGATAATATTCATATGAAATATAAGAAAAATAGACAAAAGCTCTTGAATATTATAAAACGCTATTCCAACAATTCTTTCCTTACACTTGTCTTCCACATTCCCATTTTAAATTCATAAATAAATAAGGTCATTGTTCCCTAGATTCTTGGTAGAAGCCTATTACTAAGTCATTTTAGGGACCCTCCTGAAACAAAGAGACAACTCCTTCACAAAGCCCTAGGTGATCAGGTGACACCTTCCTGCCCAATACCCAGCCTGGTTCAGTCCCTTCTTACTCGTATCTTTAAGGGACCTCTGGAATGTGTCACATACAATATAATGAGGGTCCCTGAGAGTAAGAGAAGAATTTTGCCCAGTTTTTGAGGGGGTGTTTTTACAGTAGACAAAGAGAAAGAAGCAAATTAAGCAGGACACTAAATTAAAATTTTTATAGTAACTTAGGAATTAGAATTTCAACAATTAGCTATTTCTAACCTTTGCATCATCCTGAGCTGACCCTTTCATATACACAAATCATAAAAATATACATTTTTATTAACCATATTTCCTTTCAATTCTTTAATTAAAGCACAATTTAAATGTATACTTACATTTAAAGTGGATTTTGATACATAACTTCGCTCCACATTTATTTCCTGTAATATAAATATTTGTAATGTTATGATGTAAAAAATATTAATGTATGTCATTTTATACTTCTCAGTGATGAGGTTATGGTGCTTTCTCTGCTTCTTTATACTTTTACTTCCAAGTTTTCTAGTTAGCATGTATCAGTGTAACAGGAAAAAATTACTTTGTAATATACTCTTCTGACTATTCTTTGAAAATGTAAATTTATCTTAAAATTGCTAATGTAGATTTAAGTTAAATCTTTAAGTTCTAAATCAAACAATTTAAAAGTACTATAGGAAAACAGCCTCATGACTTAAAAAGAGGTTTAAGTAAAACTTGCTATTTCTCCCCATCCACTCCTAAAAATTGTCTCCAATTTATACAAGGAAAACACACCTCACATAAATGTGGTCTATGTTACCAGATAAATTCCTTTTTAAGAATGAAAAGAGTAAATATATTGCCCCTACTCTCAGTTTCTCCCACATTGTTCTTAGGAACAAATGCCAACCAGAACAAATTCTAAAAATGCAGGTTACAGTTCAGAGACCTAATTAATCTGAAGACGGACAATTTATAGGACAAAGAACAAAGAAAATGTTTCGTCCTCAGAGGTCAGAGAGTATAACTATTCGGCCCTGGCTGGTGTGGCTCAGGGGACTGAGCACCAGCCTGTGAACCAAAAGGTCACTTGTTTGATTCCTGCTCAAGACACATGCCCGTGTGGTGGGCCAGGCTCCTGGTTGGGGGACGTGTGAGGGACAACCAATCAATGTTTCCCTCACACATCAACGCTTCTCTCCCTTCCCCACTCTCTAAAAAGAAATAAAATCTTTTGGGGGAAAAAAAGCCTAACTAATAAAACATAACAACTCATATTTAGAACTTCATCATGTTGATGATTATGCACAAAAATATCTCACAGAGTAATAAAACAAGTATACAAACATCTAAAAACTTTAACCAAAGAACTTAGCTTTTCACAGATTAAAGAAGCTTTGTCCTGACTAAATGCAAATAATAAATTAAAAAGCATAGACAAAAGGTAGGTATATTTGAGAAATACTAGTTATAAGCAGAGATAACCACAAGGTATCCCCACAAAATTGATTTTTATAAAGTGTTCACATGAGAATAGATCATGAAATGGCAGCTGAAAGACAGAATGTTTTGCTACGTAGTGGAAGAACAGAATTTACTTAAGGTAATCTTTTTTCCAATGTTAATTTGATGAAAAAGGTCACTTTTATGTTGAAAGTTCACATAACTTTGCTATAAGAAATAAGTAATTTAGGCCTGATTTGATTGAAAAGTATGGCAATATTCAGTAGAGCCCCTATTCTGAAGAGATGCCGTTATGGTCTTTGTGAGGGAGAGGCGACTGTCATACATAATATTATTTGATCCTTCACTTGATCAATAAACATGCTGAGATCATTTACCTTATAGAAGGCATTATGGGGAATTTGAGATCTGTAAGATATGGTCCCTGTACTCAAGCAGCATTATAATCTTATCAAGGAGAAATGTTAAAGCTATCTGTACATATCCCTGTACAAATCCCTAATTTGGTAAGAACTGTAAGAGAGATACCGTAAGTATATATAGTCACTATATACAATATAGTGGCTATCTTATACATAGCCACGACAGGGGACTCCCAGTCAAGATGGCAGTGTAGGCAGACATGGCTCACCTCTTCGCACAACCACATCAAAATTACAACTAAAATATAGAACTAGCATCACTCAGAGCTGTCAGAAATCAAGTTGAACGGAAGCCTCACAACTATGGAATTAAAGAAACCGCATCCATCCAGACTGGTCCTGGCTGCTGTCTACAAGGCCCTGAACCACCATCCTGTTTACCTGGAGGGCACCCTGCTGAAGCCCAACATGGTGACTCCTGAACACGCCTGCACCAAGAAGTATACTCCAGAGCAAGTGGCTAACGCCACGGTCACAGCTCTCCACAGCAGCTGTTCTTGGAAAATGCTTTTTGTCTGGCAGCATGAATGAAGAGAATACTATCCTCAACCTCAATGCTATCAACCTCTGCCCTCTACCAAAGCCCTGGAAACTTAAGTTTCTCTTACAGACAGGCCCTGCAAGCCAGTGCACTGGCTTGCCTAGAGCCGCAAGGCTGCAAACAAGAAGGTGACACAGGGGGCCTTTATGAAGCAGCCCACTCCCATGCAGCCCAAGGCAAGTATGCTCCCATGGGCTCTTCCACTACTCCATCCACCCAGTTACTCTCCACAGCCAACTCTATCTACTAGAACCTGAGGCAGGGAGGCTGGCTCCAGCTCTTCCAAAAGTCTTGGGAGGTGGGCTAAAAGGGACAACAACCCTTCAACTGACCCTGGGAATTAGATAAAATTATATTGAACTACTGGAAACACAATGCACGTTAAATTCTTACACACGGGAAAAAATAATTTACTGAAAACAAGTCTGAATATCAAAGACCTAACAAAATGTCACACAATGGTTTTCTTGTCACACTTCCAGCTGCCCATGCCCCAAAGTATGCACCTGAACACAGGCTTAGAGACAGAATCAGTTCTCCATCCAAATAATGACTACAGAATAAAACACCTCAGGAGCTGATGGCAGAGAAGTGTGTCTTATTAAAGAATCCTACGAGTGGTGAGTTATGAAGGAGACAGCTGCAACCAAAAAAGAAATAAAATACGCTATAAACCTTCCCCAAAAATAAATAAATAAAAGCCACCAGGGTGCTCCCCACTAGAAGACTCCTGTGAAAGGGTGGGCCGGTCATGGACGGGGGAAGACACGCTAGGTCCCCCAGCAGCTGCAAGCAAATGTGCAGGCCACGAGGGATGTTGTAAAAGCAATTACACTCCTACCCCTGCAGCACTTCTCCTACTTGGGTTCATTCTCCAGAGGAGGAGGCAAGATTTTAACCTTCAGCAGAAAATTCTGACCTTGCTAAGCTCCTTTCCTTGGACCATGTCTTCTCATTCAATCAGTCTTAAGTCCTCATCTTTCTTTTTAGGTCTAGGGTTCCTTTGCCTTTTGGCCACTCTGTTCCTCTGCACTCTCTGCTCATCCAGCAGGCAGGGAGGCTACTGCATCTGCTCTCTTGCCAAATGATGGCCAGGCTCCTCCAGGTCGTGCGTTTTGACTGGATACTACAGCGTTTTAACTCGATACTATGCTGCAGATAGCAACGCTATCCCTCCCCTCCCTTGCCTCTATGAACATTGCTCACACTACCATTGGCTGGAGGCGGTCAACAGACAACGCCTGGTACTCTGTGGCCAGTTATGGCCCCACCTAACATTAGTCCACCACATGGAATCCCATGTTCTTAGACTCTACACGTCTGCTCTGAGCCCTGCATTCTACTCCCATTTCAAAATGGGCTCAGCCCTGTCATGCCCATATTATGTGGGAACAAGGGACCTTTTCCATGGACCTCCTCAGAAGCCTCCTGTACATTTTTTGAATCAGGCCCACTTCCTAAAGTACCTTGAAAGGGCAGACAAGTTGGCACAAACCTGTCCTTTGAGTGCCTTCAAGAGGCAGAAGGGACAAATTCGGGTTTGCAACCTGCCCCTCGCATTGTTTACTGAGACAGGGATCCCCCTCCTCCTCAGACATCTTCTTTAAGGCCAGAGGACCCACGAGACTGGGCCAGTCCAGACTGTTGGTCCTAGAGAGTATTTCCCCATTATGAGAACTGTTACTGGATTAGTCAGCACAATTTACAGCTACAATCTTTTAGGGACACATGGTTAATGACTCACTGTCCAGGCATTACACATTCTAGGAGGAATCCAGCTCCTAAAATGCCTCCAGCAAGCAGGCCTAATACAATGGGACCAAAGCCTTCACCTCTATAACTCTCTTCCAAGGCTCTGCACGACTGCACTCTTCCTGTTTTCCCTTCAGCTTCTATGATTTCCTCCTCGATCCCCGGCTGAGCCTCTTTGGTTCCCACCCATGGTCAAGCCTTTGTAGCTCCCAGTACACAGGAGCTGCCAAGGCTCTTCCCGCGAAAGGTAAGCAACCCCTCAGAAGGGAAGCAGATCTGCCTCTGCCCTCCACACCATCCTCGCCCGAGACATCCATTTGAGACCCCAGGGTCTCTGGATGCTGAGGCCCAGATCCCCCAGTTTTGGGACACCAAAACCCTCAAGTTAGACTCCAAGACATTGGGCTCTCTACCCTCATAACCTCTCTCCCTTCCAGATGGGAAACCAAGAATCCGTTCCTGCCGACACCATTCCAGAATGTATCCTTTCCAGCTGGCCTCATCCTCAAACCTTGAGGAAAAGTTGACTTACATTTTTTGCAACACTGCTTGGCCTCAATATCAACTATGGGATGGGGAGGTTTGGCCACTCAATGGGACCTTAAATTAGAATACAATTTTATAGCTTGACCTTTTCTGCAAAGGTCTTGGTGAGTGGTCCGAAATCCCATATGAACAGGCATTCTTTTATCTAAGGGGTTGTGGAGATTTATGTCCTAAGTGGAAACTTACTGCCACTACCGCTTCACCCAATGACTTTTCCTCTAATTCCCAGTCCCTTCAGAGCCTACTCCAGCTGTAGAAACTTAGGAAAAAACTCTCCCACCACCTTCTTTACTGCCCCCGTATCTGCGGCCCCCAGCCCAACCACCAGCCCCTGTTCTCTCTCTCCCTAAGACTTCCCCACCCGCAAGGCTCTTACCGCTGGTAGAGACTGTGGGAGAATTCAGCCCCAGTTAACCCACACACCCCGTTCTCTTGTAGAGCTTAGCCAAATTAAAGCCAATTTAGGAAACTATTCTGACAACCCAGATATAAATAGACATTTTTCGACACTTCACCTTGGCTTATGCGTTAACTTGGAAGGACGTTATGGTTGTCCTGAGGCAAGACCCTATCAGATACTGAGCAGGAGAAAGCAATAAAGGCGGCCAGAAAATTTGCTAACAACTTACCTCTATCTGATAGCCAATACCCCAGAGGAGAAACCGTGGTCCCATCAATGGCTCCTGAATGGGACTATAACACCTCTTCCTTATGTGTTCATAAAAGTCAGTCTAAGAAATGCTCGTTGCTTACTTTTTGGTCATCGTTGGAAATTAAAGTTCTAAGAGTTAAAAGTTCAAATTACGTTGGAAAGAAATTGTATAACTTTAGTAATAGAAGGCATAAGGCATGGAGATGCAATTTTGAAGGACCAGGACTGAAAGTGAGTTATTCTCAAGATGGTTATTTCTGATTGGATAAAAGAGTTTGTGAAAGGGGAAGAGCTGAGGGAGGGAAGGAGGGAGGGGGCAAGGGAAAGTGGTGGGGGCAGGCAGAGACAAATGTATTTGAAAAAATAAATTAAAATAAAAAAAAAAAGTTTGTGAAAGTTGCAGAAAGGCTTGTGAAAGTTGTATAAGTTTGCACAAGTTTTAAATTTGTAAAGAAAAATTACTCAGGAATCTTCTCTCAATTGGAAGGAGTCTCTACCAATCAATTGCCTTACTCCAGAATCAGGACTAGAGCAGCCCCCAAGGCTCAGCTAATGTTTAGTCCCTTTGAGGTCTTCTATGGCCAATCCTCCCTATATTCAGAACTCCTACTAGATGGAAACTTCCTCCCTAGAACCCTAGTTTCAAGTCACCCCGAGAGAATATGGCCTGCAGCAAATTTGGCCTTGCATAATGCTCACCTATTACCAGCACACGAGTTACTTCACACCCTTAAACAATAGTTTTCCTTCCACCTCAATCTTCCCTGACCTCTGATTATGACAAAAACAAAATATCTGTGGTCCCCAGTGACTTGGGTCAAATCTAAACTCTTTCAAAATAGCTGGATTTCAAAGTTTATCTTCCCATCCGAAAAGGAAAACGCACACTTCACCAACTATACCCTGATGTTTTCTACCTACTCCTTAGGTTTTGTTAGATCCTAAATCTGTGGTGTGAGCGACCTTGCTTTAATACTCGGGTAAACAAATCTTTTTTTCAAGGATGTGACTCCTATGTTCCCTAAACACAACGGCCAGAGTAGAAACATGTCTCTGGACTCCAGAAGGTAAGTTTTATTCATTTATCAAGTACAATCGGCCCTCCATATCCAAGGGTTCTGCATCTAGGGATCCAACCAACCACGGATCGAAAATATTTGGCAAAAATGTTACATTGCTGTTAACGTGTACCCTGTAGTTAAGCCTAAAATGATTAATGGCTGCACTTGTACTAAACATTTAGACTTTTCTTCCTTGTAATTATCCCCTACACAATACAGTATAACAGCTTTTTACACAACATATACAGTGTATTAGGTATAAGTACTCTAGAGATGACAAAATATACAGGAAGGGTTGCCCTTATGTGGAAATGCTATGCCATTTTATGTAAGGGGACTTAAGCACCCGAAGTCTTGGAACCAAACCCCCCCGCCCCCGCCCCCGCCCCCCGCCCTCGCAGTCCCGTCCTCCTCCCTCCGCTCGACCCCAGTTCGCAGACATGTTTATTTCAAAAAGCACGGAAATGGTTTTATGGGCCTTGGATACCGTGTGGCAAGACCAGAGCCCATCCCGTATTTCCATCTGCCAAACTGTATGGCCCCTTAAACAGACCAGTAAGCGATTATGACGATTACAGAAGAAATCCTGGGAAGGGAAACGCGCTTTGTAACAGCACCGAGGCTCTGAGCGTGGTCGGGGATTGAGCTTTCACGAGCAGGGGGTCCCGGGAGGCCTACGGTTCGGCTCCGTCCGGCGCGCAGGCCGGGCCCTGCCATGGCGGGAAACGGCACGCAGAGACCCGGGGCCCAGCCACTCTCACCAGCATCTGCATCCGAAGCAGGGCGTTGCGCCCCTGGGCGCCGCGGCGCAAAAAGGCCCCCAGCACAGCCATGGTCGCCAGGCACAATGCGGAGACGTCAAGGGCACAGACGAAACGAGCGCAACAACGCCCGCCCCCTCGACGTCCCCCCGCCCCCGCCACCTAGGAAGAAGGTTCCAAGAAGGCAGCCAGTCTGCCTAGGCCTCCTCCAATTGCAGCCTCGGCCCGCGGCGGCGCGCGGCTGTGGACCGGCAGCCAGAGGAGGGCGGGGCGGAGCCTGACTCCCTGCGCCCTCGTAGCCCCGCCGGCGGCCTGGCTCACGAAAGAGTCGTGTGGTTTGAAAGGTGAGCAGGGAACCTCCCCACGCCCCTCACCCCGCCCACCCGCCTCACCGCACCACGCCCAACAAACGCTTGCCACGCTGCTGGAGCAGGCCTACACCACTTTTGACCTTCCCAAGTCAGTGGTTTGAATTTAATCTGGGCCTTTTCCTTTCACTAAACCCATTGTTTAAATTGTAACGACGAAGTACAAAAGAAAGTCAGGAAAAATATTTTTAAGCAACCCAATTAGCTTTAATTTATGATGAGATAATTTGGCAATTGTTTTTCAGTAGATGGAGGAGGGCAAGAAATAGAATACATATTAACAGCTAACTTTACTGATAACTCAGATGCTAATATCATACCCCGTAACTCATGAGATAATGTGGGGGGATGATGAAACTTTCCTCCACAGTCAAGATTCTTCTGGCTGGCCCAATGATCAAATAAAGATGAGACAGTTTAATACGAGAAAATAACCACATTTGTGACATGTGTATGGGAACTGAGCCTACACGAAAGGGTGGCCCCCAGGCAGGAGAGGTTCTAAGAGAGAAAGGGAACATGGGTATGTACGTAAGATATCCTGAGCTAGAGATGAAGTAAGGGGCTTTGGGGGAGCCTCAAAGAGTCGTTGCAGAGTAAGAGCAGATGTCTAGTAAATGGGAGTACTCTACAGATACGTCAAAAGAGGATATTTCTGATGATCTCCCATATTTCCTACTTCAAGTTCTTCCAGGAAGTCGAGATTTTCCTAGCTTCTTACTATCCTGCCTCACAAGGACTATCATGGAAATAGCAAGACCAACCCCCAATGTTTTTATGGCTTAGAGACTAAAGAAGCCTAGACCAGGTATCTCAAGGTGGTTAGAGCATCATCCTGATATGCCAAGGCTGTAGGGTTTATCACCGGTCAGGGCACCTATAAGAATCAACCAATGAATGCGTAAGTAAGTGGAACAACAAATCGATGCCTCCCCCCCCCCACCCCTTCTTCTCTAAAATCAATTAAAAAAAAACTTGCCGAAGACCAGCTCAATCCAATATGGTGACTAATTTCCACCTTTGGGTAACCCCTGGCCTCACTACATGCTCACTGTAATACAATAGCATGCTAAACCACACACCCTGTGCCACCATGACTGAAACAGAAAGCCCCTTTAAGGACACAACAAGGCCAATGGGTCTCTTTGGAGGTCTCCACCCCTTTCCCAGACAAATCCTATTTCTCCCCTTACTCAATGCCCTACCCCTTGAGTAAATAAGCCTCAATAAAAGAAGTAAATCCCACTGGCACCGGCTCTGCCTGCATTAATCACTGCTTCACTAATTAGCTCTCTCGCTTTAACTGTGCAGCAGTGTCTAACCTATGGCCTGCGGGCCACACGCAGCCCAGGATGGCTATGAATGTGGCCCAACACAAAACTGTAAATTTACTTAAAACATTATGAGATTTTTTGTGTGTGATTGCATGTCGCAATGTATTTAGTGTGTGGCCCAAGACAACTCTTCTTCTTCCAGTCTGGTCCAGAAATGCCAAAAGGTTGGACACCCCTGCTTTATGCTGGCTCCAGTCTGAATTCTTTCCTGTGAGAAGTCAGAACCCACAATGGGTCGTAGACTTTTGGGTCCCTGGACCCCTAGAACATCTGTATCACCTCCTCCATATTCAATAGGTCACAGAGTTCTTCCTGACTTTCTCCTTTAGGAGTCACACTGATGCCTTCACTCTTGCTGACCCTTCTCGAGGCCAAGCACAAATCTTTTCATACTTACTGCTTCAATAGCTATTGAAAGGAAATCATTACAACGTGTATCAGTGCTTAAGCTATGTGTGTGCATGAATGTGGAATGTACAGAGTAACAAAATTAAGCAACCAGTTTGGCATAATAGTATGTAGGGATCACCAGTTGTGAAAGCTCAAAGCTGATGACTAGACTAGGGAGTCAAACAACAAAAGATGACTGATTATAATAAGCTTATTACAGAATAAGGCAGTTCTTTCACAATTTGATTTATTATTATCCACATTTTATAGATGAAGAAACTCAGATACAGAAGTTATATAATATGTCCAAGGTCACAGAGCAAGCTGTTACTGAGAGCTGCAATTTGAACTCAGGGAGTCTGGGTGCCAGGAATAAGCTTTTAACCTCTACACTAATTTTGCCTGAGGAGAGACTTGGTTTAGGAGCAGAGGGGTCAGCTTTGACTGAACAATTCTGCTATCAAAAGCACTACCACTATGGAAATATTGCCACTGTGATAGACAGGACAGCTTCTAGCGAAGTTCAAAGAGACTTAGGGGTATTTGAGGAAGAAGAATACCAAACTTTCTCCTGAGCTACAGCAGACTGCTGTTCTTCAAAACTGAGCTTCCAAAAAATTAGAGCAGCTTCACCACAATATGATCAGCAGGCTAAAAAACGTAGTTAATAATTTCACTTAAAAATTATGGATACATTCCTGTCTGGTGTGGCTCAGTGGATTGAGTGCCAGCCTGCAAACCAAAAGGTTGCCAGTTCGATTCCTGGTTTGGTTCCCAGTCAGAACACATGCCTGGGTTGCGGGCCAGGTCCCTGGTTGGGGGTGTGCGAGCGAGAAGCTACCAATTGATGTTTCTTTCCCTCTTTTTCTCCATCCCTTCACCAATCTCTAAAAATAAATAAATAAAATCTAAAAATAAAAAGAAAAGAATTATGGATACAGAGTACAGACAGACAGCTGCCAAAGGGGACAGCATTGGGGGCTGGGTGAGAAGGGTGAAGGAATTAAGCAAAGAAAAAAAAGAAAGGCTCATGGACACGGACAACAGTATGGTGATGGCCAGAGGGGAACGGGGGTGTGAGGGGAGTAAACGGGGATGGAAGAAGGCTTGACTTGGGGTGGTGGACACACAACACAGTGTACAGGGTGATGTATGACAGAAGTGTATACCTGAAACCTATATAATTTTATTAACCAATGCCACTCCAATAAATTCAATAGAAATATCAAATATTTTTAAAACAAGAATCAAACAATTTGAAAATCCAAGGATTTCAGTGGGAAACAATAAAAAAAAATCTGCACCCAGAATAATTGTAGCACTAGAGTGGTCTATACTTGGAGCAGTTTAGACTCCTAAATAAAACTAATTCTGATTTTTATTACAATTGTCTAAAAAAGTGGAATCTATTCAGGATTACAGTATAGAATTGGGAGTTAGGGCATAGAGGCAACTGTTAAACAGATGACATTACCCCAAAGAAGAGTCTCATATAAGAAAGACCTGCATTTATATGTGGGAGGAGGGCACACTAAAGTGGATAGAGCAAGAACTGTGAAAAGAAAGAGGTAGCAGAGAACCAGATTATGCTATGATGTGCTGCACCCTCTACCCCTCCTTCTTTTTAAATCTGTGAAACAACTCCCGTTCACACCCAGCCTGTGAAATCATGATCCCGCTGTGGGGAAGCAGAACCAAAACAAATAAAAGGACACCACATTTTTAATTCTAAAATTCTGAAGTCACAGTTTAGGTGAGAGAAGAAAGATTTGAAAATCCACTTTTCCTGCCACTACCTAATAGTGGTTGAGTAGAGCTCTGGGGAGAAAGGCTAGAGCTGGAGAAAAAGCCAGAGGATTAGCCACTGATGAGCTTCCCTGAGACAAGGCCCTGACCCTGTGCCCTGCAGCCTAGCCACGGGGGACCGGGACAATAGAAATACACACAACAAATCCAGTGTGATGAGAATAGACCTGAGCTCTCTGATTCAAGCTGGTTTGTTGAAAAAAGTAGCCCACATGAGCACCAGAGGTTAAATACAAATTTGAGGTGGCTGCTTAGAGTGCTTGGATATGAAGGGTTAAAGAGAGCCTCACACCAAGTCCCCATAACCCCAAAAGCCTAAGAGCTAAGTGGGTGATTTTTCCTCTTGTAGCTGAGAAGAGCACAGAAGTTGGCTGAGCCGGAGTTGGTGGCCCTCAAGCAGCCCCATCAGTAGGAATCTGTACATCATCATACAAGTCAATGTGGAGGATCGACCATGTCTGGGTACAAGGCAGCCCAGGACCATAGGAAAGCCTAGGACAGAAGTGTGAAGTGACAGAAGGTAAACCTAAAATTTATGAAAAGATAACTGAATTTGAGTTTAGATGAAAATGACTAATTAAAATTTCTTCCATGAAATAGAAATGGAGTGTTGGGATAAAAAAAAATTTAGTCCAGTTAAGAGAAAATGAAGAACTTTTTTTGCCTATCTGAATTTGTAGCTTTGAGTTATCATTCCTGCTCCTGGAATCTTTCTCTCTGTAAAGGTCCATAAGTATAGTCATAATCCCCAGAGTGGTTTTCTAAAACTCAGCTTTAGAAGTCAGGAAACAAACGGAAAAAATTTTTAAAATTAAGAAAAACTTAGAAAAAAGTGTGGGTATTAGATTCATAATACAAGGATCCTTGCTATTCACTTCCAATTAACTTCTTCTATAACAAGTAACTTTTTAAAAGAATTTTTTTTACATTGTTTTTTTAGAGAGGGGGAGACAGGGAGAGAAACATCAATGTGTGGTTGCCTCTCACGCACCCCCTACTGGGAGCCTGGCCTGCAACCCAGGCACGTGCCCTGACTGGGAATGGAATCAGCGACCCTTTAGTTTGCAGGCTGGGACTCAATCCACTAAACCACACAAGTAACTCTTATCATAGTTAGTCTATTGTAGTAACTCAATATACTAGGTTGAATAGTGTCTCCCAAAGCCTCACCCTCATACCTGTGAATGTGCCTTTATTTTGGGTCTTTGCAGAGAAAAGCAAGTTAAGATGGGGTCATACTGGAGTA